GATTCTCAATGGTAAAACTAAAACTAAGAATATATTTGCCAACAACCGCTTGCATGACATTTCTAAATTTTCTCATGATTTTCTTCATAAATTTGGTTTCAGATGTCAATCCAAATATATTCCTACTGAAATTAACCCAGCTGATATGTTGACCAGGGGTATGTCAGCTAAGGGGTTCGAGAAGCGGTTGCCACTGTGGTGCCATGTACCTGAGTTTTTAGCGAACGATGGTCTGTCATCTTGGCCCAAAGTTGACCTCCATAGTAAGGTCGAAAACAGTTTGCCATTAATCTCGTGTGCTCTTACTAACTCTACAGATCTGCCAGTTGTGCCGGTCAACAAATTCTCTTCTCTTCATAAATTGTACAGAATAATTGCACTTCTTTTACAGTTTGCAGCGAAGTGTATAGGAAGTTGAACATCTCAGATTTGGAATGCATGGAGAAAGCAAAATTGTACTGGTTCAGAAATGAACAAAAATTGCACTTTCCCACCGAAATCAAATTTTCATCTTCCAAACAGGCTTCACCGGTACCTAATTTAGTCAACAACTTGGATTTATTCCTTGATGACCATGGTCTTTTGCGATCCGAGGGTAGGCTTAACAAATGTGATCATTTGTCTTATGACGTCAGAAATCCAATCGTTCTTCCTAAGCAGAGTTTCCTGACAGAACTTATCATACTTGACTGCCATCAGCGGTGCAAGCATTTGGGAGTAACCTCCACTCTAAATTTTTTGCGTAATACTGGTTTATGGGTCCCTCAGTGTCGACCTCTCATTAAAAGATGTTTGAAAGACTGTGTACCGTGCAGGAAAGTCAATAACTTATCTTTCAGATACCCGAAGCGCACTGATTATATCGGGGACGGAGTTAATTTCGTGCGTCCCTACGAGAATGTAGGAGTTGGCTTTACGGGCCATTTCAATGTTCAATTTGGGGGTGCTTCCATTAAAATGTATTTAGTAATCTTTACTCGCCTAAATATTAGAGAAATTCATTTAAAACTTGTACCCTCCATGTCCTCGGCAGATTTCTTGATGGCTTTCTTGCGTTTTTGTAATCTGTACGGCATTCCAAAGGCACTGTACAGCGACAATGCTTCTTTCTTGCAGGCAGGGACGCTGCTAACCGCGTCTTCATCCGATAATGATTTGAACGAATACTTGTGATGTAATAACATCAAGCAACTTAAAATACCTCTCTATTCTGCGTGGGTTGGTAGTGCGTTTGAGAGATTGATTAGGAGTGTGAAAAGTTGCCTGTATAAGACCGTGGGACGAAGCAGATTGAATTATTTCCAGTTCATAACCCGGAGCGACGTACAAACCGCGGTCAACTCGCGACCACTTACGTGCAGAGACGAATCTTATTTCAGTCAGGATATGATATCACATAGTTCATTTTTATTGTCCGGTTCTTAAAATTCTCATTTGATTTTTGGCGACTTGACAACCGGGATGCTTTAGCCCCTACTTCACGTGAAGCGCTCGTCGAGACGCTGGAGAAGCGGGAGGAAGTACCGTACTATATAGCTTAATTCAGAGACCTCTGGTATTCTGAATATTTGCTTTCATTGCGTCAATCGAGTAAATATCTATATCAAGATGGCTGGTGTGATAAGATCCGCGAGGGAGACATTGTAGTGATGATTGTACTTATTTCATCTCCAATTAAACCTAGGCCCTTATGGCAAATGGGAAGGGTAACTAAGCTACTAACGGGGAAAGATGGTCGAACAAGATCAGTTGAATTAATACGTCCCGACCGTTCATCAGGTATTTATGCAATATCACTTTTGTATCCGCTTGAATTGTCTTTGAGCACGGTTAAGTCCGATGCTCCTACTGATTCCATTGCTCAAGCAAACGACATTCCTGTTCTTCGCAGTGAGCCTAGGCCTCCTCGACGTGCAGCCGAACTTTGCCGCGAGCGCCTGCGCAACTGCAATTGAAAATTGCAATGCCGTCGCCCCGGAGTATATTAGAAATTTGTTCCGTATAATTAAATTCATATTCCGTTTTAATTTAACGGAGATTTTAAAGATTAAGTTAGATTAGTATTATTGACTTCGAGAGAACTACTGAAGCATTAGGATCAATCTTTTGACAGCTTATATGATACGAAGGTGACTCAAATGGTGTTCTTGGCTCATGTATTGCTCACAGTGACCAGAGTGCAATTCACTTCCTATTATCTATTTGATTTAATGCATGCTATGGGCCACTTTTCAAGTTAATGCCACGTTATCATTTGTTCTGACCCAACACTTTAAGACGTCTCTAACGCATTAAGTAGACTTGGCAGTATTGCCGGCTTTCAAGCCTTTAGCCTTAAGCCCTGTGGCGCTTTAACCATATTAACTAACTTAGACAAGTTGGGTCGACCATTCATTAATTTTCTAACCATTGCACTCAATTGCACTGTCAAACACCTTTGTACCTCTAAACGGATTTCAGCCACTTCTAAATTGCCCCCAGCGGTTATAATTTAGAAAGGTTAGTCTCGAAATATTTAATCTTGCTTTGTATACTTGATCCATATATCTTGATCCTCGTCATAATAATAATATAATAATAATAGCGGTTTCAGCGTTTTATTAGGCCGTAGGCCTGTCGCCGATTCTTAACATCGCAGAACACTCACAGCATTTTGAGGTCTCGAACACGCAACTCACTGCTTCAATTCTGCTGTGCTTAACCGCCCGGCCTCCTTGCCGATTCTGACCAGAAACTGACGCACAGAGCTGGGATCGAACCCGCGCCTCTCTGTGCCAATCTTGGTACTCTGAACTGTAACCACTGGGCCACCCATCATGAATAATTGAATCCGATACAATAGCGCTTACTTGTCTGTCCAATCTGATTCTTAACCGTTAATTTACAGTATAACCTCCGGTATTCTCGTCGCATCTCTTTTGCTGTGTGTTCCATATGCCTCAAGTGCAGCCAGTGCTACATTATTTCTGCTGTTTACATTATTTCATTCGAGGTTAGACTGGGAGATGCGTTCACTGTCAAGTTTGGTACCGCTAAATTGGAGTTATTGAGCATAATTGTTATAATCATTTCTCAATCTCTGGGGCATTCATTTAGTAAAGTCTATTTTTTTCTAGTTTCAGTTTCCTCAACTGCATCCACTGCAGTTCTGTACTCTACTTTATATACTGGATCCGAAGTTTATTCGCTGGAGTTTCAATAAAATTGCCGTTATGCTTGTATGAATTCCTTACAGAAGATCACAGTACTTTCTAAAGTGCAAAGTGAAGTACTTTTCTGAAGTGCAAATTTTTAGTGAAGCGCAAAGTTTTAGATTTTGAATGGACGATGAAGCTGGACTCCAAAACGTTTTTCTTCATAAGAAATGGTGAATTTTCTGGCCGTTTCCTTTACTTCTAAGTTGTTGACATATGAAATATGAAAATAATATAGCATATTAGAAAATTAGTGTCGACGCTGAAGAATAGGCCAAACTTGGTCTGTCGCCGAATACTGTAATTTTTACGACTCGTTCACAGGAAATTTAAAAACGTCTCTTGAACAGATCTTTCTAAAATTTACGTTGAATTGAAAAACCTGGAGTTTTATCAGGTCTATGGGGTAGCACTTCAAGACTGAATATATATTTACCTCTGCACAGCTTTTGCCTTCTGTTCTTGAATGCATTTATACTCGGTGCGTCAACGATGCGAGCAGTGTTTGTTCCTCGTGTCGGTGACTCGAAGCGAAAAGAAATATTGTTGCACGAATGAGTTGCACCGTAATTTTTGAGATTATTGCCATGGCCCCTGGTGTTGGTTCATATTTCATATTGTTCTGGAATCTTGTAATAATTTGAATTTTCTGGAATTTTTGTAACAATGATGCTCATTCGGGAACAGAATTGAGCTCAATCGTTTTTAAGAGCCTTCAATGTCGTTTTTAAGAGCCTAAAGTTAACATGATTGTAGTTCAAGCTCCGCTGCAGACGATTCGCAGCCCAATTCAAAAGAAACTTAACTTTCTTTTTGGCATGAGTCGTCTTGGGAAGTACGACGCCTCACTAGACCTAAACGCATGTGGATCAAAGCGCGGCTGAAAATTGGCTCGCTTAACAGTTTTGCATTTTTCCAACTTAAACTAAATGGTCAATCACAGCTCCTCTTCTTCCTTGAGTATTTTCGAAAATATACTAATTAATGTGTGAAGAATCAGCTGACTCAATCAATCAGCTTTTTTGCCGTAATGTCGACAGCAAGCAATTATAGACATGTATATCTGTCCAGTTTGCCTGGCAAACAGCTCCATCATAAAGAATTAGAAGGAGAAATAAAGATGACTAGAGTTTCCGTGATTCATTCAATTTTATTGGCAACTTTTTGAAAATGCATTTGTGTTCTGCTACAACCTTAATGGAAAAGTTAACACGCTCATTTGATTTTTAAGCACAACGATGTTATTTCTGAATAAAATTGTCACCTTACGCTATAGAGGAAAACTAAATGTAAAATTTTCATTTGCATATCCTTATGTATTCTTTTAATAAAGACCAAAACTAACATAGACCTAGGATATTCGCGAAGCTCAAGATCGAGAAAGATACAAAGTTATTCGATGGCCAGTTTTGTAGACGTACGAATTTTTCGATTATAAAAATATTAAATAAACTCATAAAAATAAATTTTATCCCATATTTTTTTAAATCCCCTCTCGACTTTAATAATGCATATCAAAAGGAAAAAATTCCACCTCTACATTTCTTTAGCCGTTGTTTGTTCGGCTATATTTGAATATTATTCCGTAGAGATTTCCTATAGGCGGTCACCACATTGTTAGAGATGTAATTGTGTTGGCCATCTCCAGCGATGTTAGGGTACGCACACAGTGAAAGCAGGTTGCCAGCGTACTGGTTACCTACTCAGGCTGGTGCCTGAAACCATAGAATACAGAAGCCTGTTCGTACAGGTTTTCACTGTGAACACTTACATTATTATCCTATGTTCATTCTTGAGGCAGGTTGGAGCAGGTTGCCCGCGCGGGCAAACCTGCTTTCACTGTGTGCGTACCCTAAGGCAATAATCATTTACTGCTCGTCACCGGAACTTTCGACTTTAGGTGGCATGCACTTGGCCAGGTTGGGGACAGGCTGCACATCAACCTCTGTCTCGGTGGCCACGTGCGACATCAGGCACGTGTTGTCCAGCGCGGTCAAGTCCTGGTTCGTGAAGACGTACAGCGTCTCTGTGGGACATGCAACCTCCACTATTATCATATCGTTCTAATTCTGAATATTATATATACGATGATGATAGAATAATTAATAAGTACAGTTTTTCATTTCAGGGAATGAATAAGCTGTTCATATATTGCAAGAAATCGTGATGTAAAGCTATCTATAAAACGACTGGAGACAAAACAACATTTGCGGCTACACTCATGGTGTAACGTATTGCAATGACAGCAGCAATGTTCATTGTTTAACTATGAAATTCATTTACTACACTTTCAATTGCAACTACAACAATGAACATGATGGCTGGAATGCCTGAATTTATGAAAAGCCAAATTGTGCGTAGGAAAGCCATTGAATATAAAAGAAATTAATTTAAATAATTAATGAAAATTTTTCAATAATTTGCAGAGCTAAAGGACTTTCGGTGCTGCGATAAGTAAATAAGCACTTTAAAATCACAATTTGCCCTAGCGTTCCAAGACGGTCAATAATGATTTTTTTTCTTGGTGTTAAAGAACCAAGTTACAAAAACTCAATTTCAAACAAAAAAGTCTTCCACAATCATTGTGTAACTAGCACTCAACACGAGATGAGAATTAGTTGAATGTTATAATAAATAACTCACGGATTTTCGTGAGGCCTAGGAAGCGATTCCTGCAGCTGAGTAGAATTAGTTCAGTCGAGGAGACGAATTCAGGGTATAGCGTTATGGAGCCGCTGCTGGAGAACCCGAACACTGCGAGCGCAAACCATGATACAATAAATTATTATAGAAGTCATGGATAATATAAATGCAAAGAAAAGGGAGCAGAGCGGATAACTGTTTCCGCTCCCGACACCACCAACTCTCATTCCACAGTCCTCTAGTATTCCTTACACTAACTTGCCTCTACCTCCCCACATTACAGTAGCAACACATCCCACATCTGATCCTCCTTTCACTTTTAATCTTCCTTCTTTTTCACCCTGTTATCTTCCATGCTCCCACTTGCCACACCTCCCCCGCTACATCAACTCACATCCCACAGCCTCCCATCTTCCATGCTCCCACTTGCCACGCCTCCCCCGCTCTATATCAACTCACATCCCACAGCCTCCCATCTTCCATGCTCCCACTTGCCACGCCTCCCCCGCTTTATCAACTCACATCCCACATCCTCCCTGCTCTCATTTGCCACGCCTCTCCCGCTCCATCAACTCACATCCCACAGCCTCCCATCCTTCCGTGCTCCCACTTGCCACGCCTCCCCCGCTATATCAACTCACATCCCACAGCATCGGGGACGACCTCGTACATCGTGAGCTCGAAGTATGAGCTTGGCGGTCCCATGATGTAGGTGAGGTTGCCCGTCACCGAAACGGACGAGTTGTCGCTGGGAGGAGGGGGAAAGAAGTAAAACTCAATAACGTTTCTCTTTTCCATATTTTTCTTCAATATGTTGGAAAGTTTTCAATTTAAATTGCTAGTACTTTGCAGTTTATCCGGGACTGGAAATCATTACTGATATCGTTACGCCACTGGCTAGTATGGTACAGACAGTGGGGCCGTATTTAATGTGCATAATAATAAACAGCACTGCAAGACTGATAGATTATAGACTAATATTGTTACATAAAAATAAAGATATATATTGATAAATATATATTTCCATAAACTGATAGAGATATATTTCATGAAAGATATATTTCCATTATTTAAACATAAAGATATATTGTTACATAAACATAAATAGTGTTACATAAAGATAGAGTGATGGTGCATAAAACAGCACTGCAAGACTATATAATAAAATTCCAGCGTTAAAAACCGTCGTGTGAATGATTACGCGTTAAATACCATCGCGTTTTTTTACGCTGGCGGTATTTGCCGCCTTGTGTGAAAGAGGCTTTAGTTTGTCACTGCTAAAAGAAAGTCACAGCTCTTCTCCCTAGAAATTCATTCCTACTTGCAAGGTACTCCAAGCAAGCTAATTATTAAACATTGCACGCTACTTATAAAACCTCAATTAACCCATAACCCTAACTATTACTGAGCATTAACTAGCACCTAACTAGCAGTGAGCGATAAGACTAACCTCTGCATGGCCATTGAAGCTTCCCACCCTAACTATTACTGGGCATTAACTTGCACCTAACTAGCAGTGAGCGGTAATACTAACCTCTTCATGGCCGTGGCGTTGAAGCTTCCCACCCTAATATCACTGAGCATTAACTAGCACCTAACTAGCAGCGAGCGGTAAGACTAACTTCTTCATGTCCGTGGCGTTGAAGCTTCCCACCCTAAATATCACTGAGCATTACCTAACACCTAACTAGTAGTGAGCAGTAAGACTGACGTACCTCTTGATGGCCGTGACGTTGAAGCTTGCCACCGTATGTATTACTGAGCATTAAAATTAACTAGCACCTAACTAGCAGTGAACAGTAAGACTAACCTCTTGATGGCCGTGGCGTTGAAGCTTCCCGCGTCAACATCGAGCAGCAGTGAAGCGCATACGAAAGCCGTCTGCTCAGCGTCGGTTGGGTCCCATAGCATGACGTGCATGGGCCCGAGCTTGCTCAGCTGTGCATGAGGTATTTACAGTAATTAAATTAATGCATCGTACCTCTAGCTGTAGTGTGATTATTATTGATATAAAAATCGTTACAGAGTATAGTGCGTCACAAAATTTTTTCTTTACTTCTCATGAAAATTATGAATTATAGCAGCTTAATCGGAAGTAATGGATTGTCAATGAATCAATGAAGTCGGTGCCTAGTTTCGGTACTAGAAATCAAGTTAAGATTTTTCCTGATTATTTCAAGATATATCGATGTGATTATTACGACACATCACTGTACATTGACTCGTGAATAACATGTTGCAAACCGTTTATGTTTTTTAATATATAAGTTTATAACCCTAATTACTGCTGCTACAAAACTTCTATTTACCATCCAAATGCCAATTAAATACATTTACCATCCAATACCAATTAAAATAACAATAACCAACCAAAAAATCTTCCTTCTAACTTTGGTAACGTTTCATGATACTTTCCGATGGATGATCTCAGTAAACAGTAATAACATGCGTTTAAAAATTAATTGTTAATTAAAGACAACACTTCCTAATAGGCCAGTGTCTCCCATGTTACTAATGTACAATTATTTTTTTTAATGTTAAAAAGAAATATTGTAGAATATTCATGTTAATGTTGAAAAATTATTTATTTATTTTTATTATTTATTATGTCAATTGATTCAAGCACTGTCTCCGATTTTACGCAAATGTGCAAAATTTAAGATCGATTGGACAGGTATAAAGTGTGTTAAATATCGATTATAAGATTTGTAGCAGACAAACAAACAAACAAAAAGTGAAGTTGGAGAGAAGTGTAATAATAATAATATGCGTTTAAAAATTTCTTTTTAAGGACAACAGTTCTAAAGAATTCAGTGTCTCATGTTACGCATGTACAATGAATTTCTAATTTTGTTCACATACATTAAAAAAGCTAATCTTTGAATTTTTTAATATTTAAAAATTTAAATTTTCGAAATTATTAATTCTGTCAATGCATTCATGCAGTGTCCCTAACTTTACGCAAGTATGCAACATTTCAGATCGATTGGACAGGTATGGAAGTGTGCTAAATATCGATTATAAGATTTGTAGCTGACAGACAAACAAACTAACAACAAAAAGAGAAGTTAAGAGAAGTGTTGTAAAATTAAGCACTGTTTAAATGTTTAAATCAATTCTGGCGGATGTGCAAGTTTACTTCGTTCGTTAAATATTAAAATTAAAGTGAATTGATTCCAAATTAAATTAAAATTCGTTATTAAAATGAAAGAAAATTACTGAATTAATCAAATTAAATTCATTAAATTCATTATTCAAATTATCTTCATTAAATTAATGAATTTATTAATTATAATTAAATAAATTAATATGTTTATTATATTCACTATATTCTTGTCCTCCATGAATGAATAAATAAAGATGACTCACAATAATCTTACCCTCAATAAATAAATAAATAAAGGTGACTCACAATATTCTTACCGTCAATAAATGAATGAATAAAGGTGACCCACAATATTCTTACCCTCAATAAATAAGTAAAGGCGACTCACAATGTTTTTGCCCTCCATGGTCTCAGCGAGTGGGTCGACCCACCAGTCCAAGTCATTGCACGGGAAAGGGTAATAACTTGCAGCGTTCACAACCCCCACCGCTACCACCAGCACGGCACACACCACAGACAACGCGCTGCTTCTCTGCATCCTGTCGCGCGAGTAACAACAAAAATGGTCACTTAATGATCTGATGAAACAAATATTTGACTTCGGAATTATCGCCTCAATTGTCTTTAACGCCACACTTAATATTCACGAAATATAATCAGAGATTCTGATAAAAATTGTTTTCGGAAACTGTAACGGGATATTGCAATAAAAAATATCGAATATTCCATAACTCATCGAAGATATCTACATTCTCATGAATGATTCTAGTGCGATTCAAAAGAAATATTTTTGAGTAAGATTCAGCACATAAAATGATCGATTGATGGTATATATTACTCAATATTAATAAAATATAAATGCAAACGAGTCATGTTGTGAAATTCAAGATGAAAAGTGTCTTACTAAAATAATAAACCTGAATAATGTATTTTTACTTCTCAAATTTCTCTCCCTGACTCTGCCCTGAAATTTTAATTCAATTTAAAAATATTAGACCTCTAAAACATATGTCTATGGCTTCATCCTGGAATTCCAATGAATAATTTATGTTCTTGAAGCTTCGCAATAAATGCAACCGAATAAACGCGAATGATTTTTCAACTTGAAGAGTGACGACTAAAAATCATCTACGTCTCACACATTACATGGAAAATTACACCGTTTTAGCAAATTTTTACCTTTTCACGAGGGTAGATTCACAATTTCAAAACTTTACTAAATCTCTTCCCTGGCCGCTACCTCACTTCAAACACTAACTTTTCTGGAAGACGTTTTGGTTTCTGTTGCCACCTTCACAGTCAGACACCGAGTGTCGACTCGATTGCTGTAATTAACGAAGAAATCTAAGCGGCGCAAGTGGGTCTCTCAAAAAGAGCGTCTTTTCTGGCTTCGAAATGAGTCATACTACACAAGTAGGTCACGCTGGCTTCTATTCAGACAAAGAAAGTGAAAGTTGGGACCTCTGTGTACATGGCGGTCCTATGACTGGTACGAGGAATGACACTTGTGGGGAAACTCCAAAAATGCGAAGGGGCTTCGAAAACGTCGACTACAACACGGGTCACGAGTTGATGGCAGTGAATCACACTTTAATATTGACTAGTGATGTCTTTAGTTGAGTACGTGCACTAAGAAACGTGTCATGAGACAACAACGTGTACTAAGAAACGTGTCATGAGACAACAACGTGTACTAAGAAACGTGTCATGAGACAACGACGTGTACTAAGAAACGTGTCATGAGACAACGACGTGTACAAAGAAACGTGTCATGAGACAACGACGTGACTAAAAAGCGTCTTATAAAAAATTCATGTCCTGAAAGTAAAGCGATGTTCCAAGAAACGTGTCATGAATCTATGATTTTTCTAAACAAATTTATCTTAAATCAAACATATTTAATTAAGAAACGTGTCGTATATAATACATACATAGCACAGGTAAAGTTTTACTTTTTGTTGAAAAATATTAGACCTAAGAGAGTTGCCTATTAGAATCCTGCAAAAAGAAAAAAAAAACGCTTTGAAAACAGAATCCGACCGAATAAATGTTTTTGTTTGCACTTAATTATGTAATGCGAATTTCCATTTAATAATTTAACTATTATTTCTGGAGGTTTTTTTAGTTTTTTTTACTTGATTTTTGCATAAAAGGTGACGATTTTGGAAGAATTTTTACCTTCAAATGAAAAGAAGTTCATGGTAATACGCGTAGCTTCAAAATTGTGTGGTGATATTTTGTTTACCTGATCGAACGAACCTTTGTTTCGTTTTCGCGTTATTAATGAGGTAGTCTAAGAATTTCGAATGCATTCTACGCTGTCCTGTGAATTCTGTTTATATATGAACTATTTTGACTTTTTTGCTATTTATTTTTAACCTCAAAGTTTGATTTTTCTTATTTTGACTCTAATTACAAATTATTCATAAATAGAACTACGTGATTACGAACTAATCGCGGCCTACCGTAACGCTTGGGAAGTCGTATGAAAGATCTTTTGAGGAAAAACATCAAACTTTGTATTGAATTCGAGAAAAAGTTAATATTAAACGAATTTTTACAATTGATACATTCAATTACAATATACAGTCGAGTTTCTCGAAAATTTCATTCAATTTTATTCTTGTCTGATTTTTTACGCGACTGAAATCGTTTGCGAAAAATATTTTATTAGACTTGAAATGTATAATCCGTAACATTTCAAGATGTCACGTGATGGTGTCCATGCTGACTCAAGTGTAGTACTTTTCCATCAATATCCACCACGTCTATAAAGAACATTACGTCTCAATTGCAGATGATTTAATTTTAGAATATAATTATAAGGAATAATATGCGACGCCTGATTGATACCGGACATAATTGAAAAAGTAGAAGCTTCATATTATATATTATACTATTGCTAGGCAAACTTTTCTCTGGCACAGCAATTTCGGAAAATTCTAATGAGTTACAACTATTTCTCCCACAAGACAAAATCGTTTCCATTTCTTGATTACATATAAATTTCCCAACATCCACGTAATTGTGTAATGCATATTTTATCACTGCTGGTAGGGTCCCAATAGGCAATTTGCAAATCTTTCATTATTTTGAATAATTGCAGTTAAATATGTATTCAGTTCGCATTATTTAATTTTAATGTATGGATTGAATGAAATTTACTTCTTATGTGAATAAGCCTTTTGATGATACAGCCGCCGCTTAGACTGCCGTGTCAGCAGCGCTGTGAAACTGCACCATAATATGAACATAGGAACAAATACAATGCTAGTGTGTTGAGCGCATTGACATGCATCATGGAACATTTATCATTAGTGAGGATGTTATATAGTATTCTTTGCTTACCGCCGCAAGTTATGCATGTGCTACGGAAAAATTACCAGCCGACCTCCTTGCCAGGATTGGATGCAGTATACATATGTAGTAAATCCCTTTCATCCACCTTAGTATGACCTGCTAATAAATAGAACATGTTTATTAAGTTATTTCCAGGCTATTAGAGAAAAGATTATTACATTCATATTATTAAAGAGATCATGTTGCGTCTGCCATTTCCAGCATATTGACGACATTTGAGCAACCAAGAAACAAGAAGCGCCTTATTTTATCATCTTCAAGTATTTACGTATAGGTTGCTTCCGCTGACTAAACTTGTCTTCATTTAATTAAGTAAAGTTTTAAGATTATTCCAAGTAAAAATATTCCCCAAAAATATAACCAAAAAATGTCAAGATATTATTTTTTGTGTCCTGGATGCACATGAATAATGACTTCCACTAATGCAATTTTGGGAAAGGTTCCGGAATTATTTTGAGAAAGGTCCTGTAGAAAACTGGCGGATTAAAATACCAACGATTATTTTTAGTCAGTTGAAAATATATTCCACCTCTTCCACACAATCGCTCGAAACAGCAACTCGCATAGCCTGAGAAGCATGAATGTTTAAGCAATATCTACATGTTACACCTAAAGAATGTCTAAAATTTCACGTGATAAATGAGTCTCATCCTAAGAAATAACAAATTTATTCGTGCGGAACAAATCTCTGGCTTCCAAGCCTGACAGCACAATATGGCTTCGCTACAGCTCGTGTCTCAAGTGGAAATATCTTGGATTTATCCCTAGTACGTGACTCAGTTATACATAATAGAGGAGTTACCGCTGCGACGTCTTATTGCGAGACGCCATCTGATACTCACGCATGACTCATGTTGGGTGCTTGCCATAAGTGTTTTATGTCGTGTGATACACACCACACATGTGTTATGTCGTGTGATGCGCACCACACATGTGTTATGTCGTGTGATACACACCACACATGTGTTATGCCGTGTGATGCGCACCACACATGTGGTATGTCGTGTGATGCGCACCACACATGTGTTATGTCGTGTGATACACACCACACATGTGGTATGTCGTGTGATACTCACCACACATGTGTTATGTTGTGTGATACCGTGATACGCACCACACCATGTTTTATGTCATGTGATACACACCACACATGTGGTATGTCGTGTGATCCATATTGATCTAGAAATTTCGGGTAAATTTTACGAGTGAATCAGATTTACTAGGCTCTTTTCATATTTGGCCTTGTTCGGGCGAATTGATGGAAAAGTTTGGTTAGCCACATGAGGGTAATCCTCTACTACCTCAGACAAGCAGTTAGTTCCTTGATTGTAATGCTATTCCCTCGATGGGATTCAACACAAAATAAGGACATAATAACAGGCTGAATGCTAATTCACTCGAAAATAAAATTTCAAACTCAACCTCAACCCACCAGAAAACTTATGACCACTGAATGCGACGATCAAAAATCTGTACCAAAAATGTGCACATCGCTCGATAAAGTGCTAAATATACTCATAATAATATACTCATCAAAGTGCTAAATCCATTTGACACTTCGCGGTCGTGGCGAACACGTCACACTTCAGCGTAGCCACAAATTATGCGTCATCTCGCGGGACAATCGAATTTGCAATACCAAGGCGACTGTCCCGAGTTTCAATATTCCATAATCTAAAATGTGCGCCAGAGATGTTATTCGGAGGCCCCTGGCACAGAAGAGAGCGCTGCTGCTGCCAAAGACTTACCGCCATGCAACAACATTCGAGTGCCGCATACACGATGTCTCTGCCAGCTGTTAAAACTCGTTTTGAATTCTTGACGTTCATGATTCATTAAGTAATAATTTTTATATTTTGTTTATCAAGTACGTCAGTACATGCGTTAATTAATAATGTGAAGGCGCAACGAAAAATCAATCTAGTTATGCAATGCAAATACAGAAATATGTTATGAATTTGTTGGCTTGAAGCAGTTCGGATGCGGAGCGATTAAGACCTGCATACTCGAATCCTTGAAAACCTGCATACTGACGCGTCACTTGAAGTGACAGGAGCGCCAGCTGCAGGAAACGTTAGGAGGGCGTGTAGGGTAGCGTGTTGAAGGCGTTAGAAGACGTGCGAGGTAGCGTGACAGAGAGGCTGCTGCTATAAGAGGCGTTAGAAGGAGTGCGTTGTAGCGTGTTGGACAGGCAGCTGCAGGAGGCATTATCAGGCAAGCGTGCATGGTTGTGTGTTGGAGGGAACCTAGAGAATTATTAATGTGTTCGAGTGTACAATGCGCGTAAAATTCGAGCCACTGCAGCGGTTCACTACATGGGTCCAGGATGGTGATCTTTGCAGGACACTAGGCTGGTCTTTGCCACTGTGCCACCGTCTATGAAGAACTGACTATCCCGTAACAGCCGTTAAAATTTGGGCATCTATGATACCAACTGCAATAAAGCCAAATGAATGGATGAAGGGAATCGCTAAATTAGATACATTTTCCGGCCATATGGAAAAAACTGCTTCTAAAATAGACATGATAGAAAACCAGAAATAAAGACTCATTTCATAATTCATGATAATGAAATGTTGGGGCTATTCAACGTCAAGCAAATTTTACAGTAAAATCTGCTCACAACATCGTGAAGCGAATGTTGCCACTAGCAGAGGCCACAAATTTCTAGGAAACAAAACAATTTAGGTAACATAACTCACATAATGCAAGCTGTGTCTGCGATTCCATTTGCGATTCCATTTGTGGCATTTGTAATGTATTTCATATTATCATTAATGTATTTCGTATTAAAACAACATGTTAGTACAAATTAATCTCGTATTTCACATGAGACAATAACACACAAGACAGGACTGGACTGGTCCTGGGTGAGCATGTCCGTTCATTGGCCCTGGGTCATTTGGTGAATGGAATGCAAATGTCCCCTCGCTTAGAAGGATGCT